CTTATACCCATTTTAACTCATTCACATCACATCTTGATTTAGAAATTTCTTCACATATTTGTTGATATTTTCATTATTTGAATCTGCCTTCAATGTTGGATGAATCCAACAGTGTAGCACAGCATGCATGAAAAGGTCTTAGTTCTTTCTTCATCCTGTTCTGTAATGAAATTTTAGTAACGTAATTTAAAACAATGGTTTCTAAGTACGGTCTTATGCTCTAACTCAGGGTTGCAGAATAAAAATCTAACCAGAGATTGATAAACCCATTCTGGAAAGTTGATTAAATGTAACTAGTCAAATTCTGATGAAAACATTTACTAAATGCAGCAGCTCCAGTCCTAGCTATAAGACTACTCCCCGCAGTGTCTGTTCAGGAAAGCCTCTTAAGAATTGGCCTGGACACATGAACGAACATGTAATGTAATGGCAGATGTTAGAAATGAGAGTAAATGAAAACATAGCCATACGGTGTGATCTCAAAGTAGTCCTGAATGAAAGAGAAATAACGAGATCTATAATATAATAGCATTTATATAAGAGCAATTTAATTGGTGAAGCAACAATGCACATTATAATAACTCTACACAAATAAAAAACTGTAAGAAACACATTTGAATGGTCACCTGAGGCAGTGGGAAGGGAAGTAGGAATGGGAAATGTGGAGAAATAGTGAATATATTTTTAAAGTCCACAAAAGTGAGTCCTGATAATTGGTAGTGATGGCAAGCACTCCAGGAGATGTGATGTGCAACCCAGTTTGGAAATTGCTCTTTTAGTGTGTATTGTGAGTTCGCACACAGGGTGAAGCCTTAGCCAAAATGAAATATTGGAATGTTCCAATTTTGAGTTGGAGAATATTTTGATGACTTCTTTAAATTTTCAGTCATTTTATGTTCAAGAAAAACTCAGTATATTTCTTTAGGAATTAGCTTACCAAGGCTGTTGTTTATATTTGTAATGTGAAATAATACCTGGATTTAGGATACATGTTACTCTAAAAATCCCAGCCTATGTTGACATTTTATTAAATTGCTGATGTGAAATGTAAGAGAGGTTTGAAAACCAGGAGACTTCATTTCTAATCAGAGATTATTATTGTTTATTTGCTATTATTTCCAGGCAGTGAGGAAAATGCCACTTCTTTTCCTGATTGACGAGGCCATGTATATAGATGCAGCTTCCTGGGCATTCTTGGGAGCATTGCTCTCCAGGGTGCCCATCCTGATGGTGATGACATTGACCACTACCTACACCCTGTGTGTCGGGGCCCAGAATTTCCTGCAGAGCCCTCAAGCTGCTCTTGTGCCCATTTCGAAGTTGGCGGCAACCTCGCTGTTGAGACTAGCATGTTGGGAACTGGGGGTGGTGAGCATCCCGCAAGAGTTGCAGAGGTGAGTGAGTAGGATGAGCTGGGCAGCTCATTAAGGGCCGAGCCAGTACCGTAATGCTGATAAGTGAGAAGGCTCAGGTCTCGGCAGAGTCTGGGAAGGGAAATGGCGGAGTAACCATGACGAGACTTCAGATCAGCTTTAAGGGAGATAGTCCCCTTGCAGACCAGTAAAGAACTACCTCTGTCGACCATCCACTCAGGCTTCCTAAAGACAGTTAGGCCTTGGATTACTTGTTTAATATGTTGGTTTTATGTATCCAACTCCTAAGCAAGAGGGTGTTAGTTCTTTTTAACAACTATAGAAGAAAAGTTACTTCCAAAATGAATTTCAAAGCCAATTAGAAATCATTATTTTTCTTTACATTTTGTGCTGCTTGCATGTGTTGGTGTGTATCATCCAGAGCTGTGTTCAACAAAAGATCCCTCAGTATGAAGTACCCTTATGCTTGGCTCCCCTGAAATGGGCATTTTTAGTCAGCAATTCCCCGCTTACCTCTCTGCAGCTACCTTCTCCGCAGGTGCTTTAGCAACCCCCTCTATTGTGAGATCTTATGCCAGGACCTTCTCTCTAAGGACATATTGCTCTTTCATGATCTGCAAAAGGAAGAAAAGGAGAACACCAAGTGGGAGACCCTGTCTGGTAAGTTTAACTTTCCAGGTCTTTATGCTGTCCCAGCTGGTCAAGTTCATTTTCCAATATTGCATCAGCTAGCCTTTATGAAGCATATTCCTATTCCCTGCTGACATTTTGGGCATACTAGACAAATTTTTTGCAATGAAGGATAAAAAACTTGACTGTCTACCTCAGATATTTCAGTTTATCAATCTGTAATGATTCATTTTTAGGAAGCCTAGAAGGTGAGGATAGCAAAATAGAATCTTTTTAAAATAAAAAATTTTATTTGGGCCTGGTGCAGTAGCCTAGTGGCTAAAGTCCTTACCTTGCACGTACCGGGATCCCAACTGGGCTCTGATTCTAGTCCTGGCAGTCCTGCTTCCCATCCAACTCTCTGCTTGTGGCCTGGGAAAGCACTCAAGGAAGGTCCAAAGCCCTGGGACCCTGCACCCGTGTAGGAGACCCAGAAGAGGCTCCTGGCTCCTGGCTTCAGGTCAGCTCAGCTCCAGCCATTGCAGTTATTTGGGGAGTGAATCAGCAGACGGAAGATCTTCCTCTCTGTCTATTCTTCTCTCTGTATATCTGACTTTCCAATAAAAATACATCAATCTTTAAAAAAACACATAAATCTTTAAAAAAAAGTATGTATTTTTATTGGAACGTCAGATATTTACACAGAGAGAAGAAGAGACAGAGAGATATTCCATCTGCTAATTCACTCCTCAAATGCTCTAATGATCAGAGTTAAGCTGATCCAAAGCTAGGAGCCAGGAGCTGCTTCCCTGCCTCTCATGTGGGGACAGGACCATGAGCCATCCTCCCCTGCCATTCCAGGAGTCACCAGCAGGACTGAATTGGAATACAAATCAGCACCTCTATGGGATGCTGATGCTTGCAGATGAAGGATTAGCATGTTGAGCCACCACACTGCCCCCACCCAGAGAAAATTATTAAACATAAGTTTTATTAAGTTTATAAGTGGAATGTATAGATATATACACAGAGAATTTAGAGAATTGAATATTATTGAGGTAATGACTTGAGGTTTTGGATGGAGGCATAGAGGGAGGAAGAGGTGGAAGAAAAGGGTAGAGGTGTGTCTAAATCCAGGGAAGTCGTCGCCCTCGAGGTCCAGAAGCAAGGGCTGCTTGTGAGGTGAGTAGGAATAGTGAGCACTGGTGCATGCCGCGTGCATAGAGGGTGTCCTTGGCTGAGGAACAAAGGTGGGAGCAAGAAGGGGAAGAATCAAATATTTTAAACCACGGTATTTTTAGTTTTCTTCATCCTTTAGTTTCTTGACTAAATTTTTGCATTTTGTGCCGTTAAAACTTCTGATCTTTGAACATGGTATTTCCTCATAGTTTTCTTTCTCTACAGCCAAAGCAATGAAATCCACAATGTACAGTATTATTCCTGCCAGCTGTGACGACCAGAAACTGTATGTCTGCACAGTCAAGGATGATGTGAACTTGGATACAGTGCTTCTCCCACTGCTGTTAAAAGGCAAGTCTAGTTTGTAGGCAAACCCTTGAAGTGAACCTGTTATAGTGTCTTTGCAATTGGGAGTTTGGCCGGTGATTGAATATAGGTCTCTAATTATCATGCTAGCTTCATTGTCTTCTCAAAAAAGAAACCTGCCTTTCTGAAATAAGTGCTAGGATTACCTGAAGAGCACTGTGAAGATTGTAATGCAACTTGAGCAGTACTTTATTTAAGTGAGCCCATTTGTTCTCTTTGGGACTGACTGATGATCTAGAAACAAGAAAAATTTTAAAGATTGTTTTATTTAAAAGTCAGAATTTCAGAGAGAGAGAGAGAAACAGGAATCTTCTGTCTGCTACTTTACTTCCTGAATGGCTTCATGAACCAGGGCTAAGTTAGGCTAGGATGAAACAGGAGCCAGGAACTTCTGTGTCTCTTGTGAGGGCAGCAGGGGTCCAGGCCATTTTTGCTGCTTTTCCATGTGCATTAGCAGGGACCTGGGTCAGAAGTAGAGCAGCCAGGACAGGCACTAGTGCCTGTGTGCTATGGCTGCACCACAGACAGCAGCTTACCTGCTGTGCCACAGCACCAGTCTTGACCACGAGATTTTGAGTAAAAGAACAAGTTTTTGAATGATTCCAAGGTTTTGAGCTTGGCTACTTACTGACTTAGTACTAACTAATATTTAGGTCATAGTATTGAGAGATTCACTAGTGCTTAAAGGTAAGTAAGATCTCTATAATTATTTGAGATCTGAAACAGAAAGCCAAGTCTCCAAGTATAGTTGAAAATAAGAAGAGCAGGGCCCAGCAGCGTGGCCTAACGGCTAAAGTCCTCACCTTGAACACACCAGGATCCCATGTGGGCACTGGTTCTAATCCTGGCAGCTCCACTTCCCATCCAGCTCCCTGCTTGTGGCCTGGGAAAGCAGTCGAGGACGGCCCAAAGCTTTGGGACCCTGCACCCACCCGTGTGGGATACCCGGAAGAGGTTCCTTGATCCTGGCTTCAGATCAGCACAGCACTGGCCGTTGCACTCACTTGGGGAGTGAATCATCGGATGGAAGATCTTCCTCTCTGTCTCTCTTCCTCTGTGTATATCTGACTTTCCAATAAAATAAAATAAAATCTTGAAAAAAAAAAGACGAGAACAGTCTGAATAATAGGTCATGAAAAATGGACATATTTTAGCTGTATGATTCAGAGCATGGTTTTGGGTCTTCCACCAAAAGTTTTGGTGTCATTGGGAACAAGAGTTTTAATAATGTAGTAGAAGCCTGATTGTTGTTGATTGAACAATGCATTCAAAGTGGGGACATAGTGATAAGCCTCTCTTAAAGAGAATTGGAGAAGGGAGGAATAGGGCAAGACAGTAGATATAGTAGAAAAACAAGGATTTTTCTTTTGAAGATGGACAGATGTGAACATATGAATTCTGAATCTGTAGAAGTCTTACTCACTGCTGCTGTTGCTTCTGATGGTGTTCTTCGTTATTCTCATTGGCAGAAATAGCAGTAAATCAACTGGATCAGCTGAGTTCAGAGGAACAGTTGCTGCTGAAGTGTGCGGCTGTCATTGGTCACTCCTTCCATGTCGATCTGCTGCAGCACCTCTTGCCTGGATGGGATAGAAATAAGCTACTGCAGGTGCTGAGGGCTCTTGTGGATGTACATGTACTCCAGAGCCTTAACAGAAACCAGGAGATCCCTGCTGAGCCCTTATTAGCACATTCATCTGTCAACATCATTGATCAGACCACAGAGGAAAAGCCAGGTGAGGAATAGCTACTCCTTGTTCTGTATGAACTGAGGGTCCAGGTGGAGTGTTCTGTGTTACACAGGTCCACAGTCATATCTTAAAGCTTATGACTAAGAAACAAGAAGAAAATGATTAGTGAAATCATGAAGGAACCATGGTTATAGTGGAAAAAAATACCCTGTCTTTTTCAGAATTATCTAAATTTCAAGAATCCTATCTCCTTTGTAATTTAGCTGTGAGTATTTTGTATTTTGGTTTTAGATTTAAAAAGTATTGCCATACTCTTTTCTTGGTTCTGGGTGCAAACAATAAGACAAAAAGGATAAGCCATTTCCTAATTTTAGAAACTTGCAATGGAGATTAACGTATGTGGTATTGAAAAAGAAATGAACAGGCAAGAGATTAATTAAATAGCTTACAATCTCAGATTTTCCATATGAAACAATAAATTACAGCATAGACTACACAAAGCTTATAGACCCCCACAAATAATTTCCCTTTGACTTTGAAATATTTTTAAGGCCCATATTGGAAAAGAGCATTTCTAATGAATTGACATTTATAATAATGTGAAATAAACAAGCCCAATTTAGAAGGAACAATCAAAATTTCCCAGTGTATATCTGTACTGCCAATCACTTCTTCTGTGTTGTGCATAGTGGGCATCCTCAATATCTCTACATATAGTCTGTCTCGTTTTGATACAAAAATTATTTTTACAAAGGAGACAGTAGTAACTAAGAATTTTAGGTAAAAATTTCCTATAAGCTATTAGTTGTATACTTAGAATTGTGGCATTTTGTACTATAAAAGGACTTTAAGGAAGACTCTCACATTTTCCCAAAGCCTCTCTTCTCAGACTGCAAGAGCAGCTATTCCTACCACAAGCCGGAATGCTAGAATTTGGAGTGCCTCTCTTACGGGAAGCCGCCTGGGAGCTGTGGCCCAAGGAACAGCAGATAGCTCTGCACCTCGAATGTGCCTACTTTCTCCAGGAGCTGGCCTGCCGCTGTGGGAGCTGCCATGGAGGAGACTTTGTCCCCTTCCATCGTTTTGCAGTCGGTTCGACTAAGAGCTCCAGTAGGACTTCCCGATTCTGTACTTACAAAGATACTGGCTCAGTGTTGACACAAGCAGTCACAGGCAAACTGCAGCCGCCTTTTCCTCAAGGTAAACCCTGGAGGTAGGGAGAGACCATGTGGGCAGAGCACTCCCTTCGCCACATCTCTAATAAAAATTTGTTTGAAAGGCAGAGTTAATTAGAGACAGGGAGAAACAGAGAGTTAAAACTTAACACTGGTTTACTTCCCAAATGACTGCAGTGACTAGGGCTGGGCCAACCAAAAGCAGGAGCTTCATCCCATGTCTGCCGCATCAGTGGCAGATGTTCAAGCACTTGGAGCATTTTACACAAGACTTAGGTCCATTAGCAGGGAACTAGATTAAAAGTGTGCTGGCCAGGACTCAAACTGGTGCCCATATAGGATGACAGCATTGCAAGCAGAGAATTAATGCACTATGCAGCAGCATTATCCCAGCACTGCTATTTAGTCATGTACTTGGAGTTCTTCACCAAACAGTTGAAATCAGATTAATCTGATTTATCTCTGAACAACCATAAGTAAGATATAAGTTTAAAGGAAACTTAGAAATTTATTTTGGTTTGCAACCTTGGTCAAGTGACTTAATCTCAGGGAAATAGTAATTCCAACTTCATTAGGGTCATTAATTAGGACTAAATTAGTTAAAATATGTAAAATACTGTGAAAAAATGCCAAGTATATTTTGAGTGTGTAAAATATTTTAGCTATCATATTATTACTATTCAGTTCATTGCACACACTGAGTGCACAATTCTTGCATATATAAGATGATATACTATGTGTTAGGAATACGGTGTGAATAAAACTTCAGTCTCTACCTTCCTGAAGCCATGAGTTTCAGGGAAGGGGTAAAACAAATGAATAAATAGATTAATCCAGTATGGCATGGTAAAGACAGTGAAAATAGCACACAGGAGGCCAGCATTGTGGTGTTGCAGGTAAAGCTGCTATATGTGTGATGCTGGCAGAGCCCTTCTGGGCCCTGCTTCACTTCCTGTCCAGCTCCCTGCTAATGCCCTACAAAGCAACAGAAGATGGCCTGAGTACCTAGACCCTGCCACCACACCTGCATGGGAAACCCAATGAAGTTCCTGTCTCCTGACCTCAGCCTGGCCCAGCTCTGGCTGTTGTGACCATCTGGGGAGTGGACCACAGGATGGAAGTTAATTTAACATTCTCTTTCTCCTTTCTCCCGCCTTCTTCTCTCTAACTCTTTGCAAACCCCTCCCCCTTTTATTTTTATTTTTTTATGGCATACAAAGGATTTTGAATACCTAGGAAAGTGGCCCTTAAGTGAGCCTGAGTTGTTAGAGGAGACTCTTTTTGGAAACATTTCCAGAACTGAGTCTTGAGGCTTAACCAAAGAAGGTTGTGTTAGTGGGTCAGTGTTCACCATAGCCCTTAGCTGCATCCCTGATGAGAGTTCTTTGTTTTAACCTTTTGTGTTAGTTACCCTTTCAGGACAGATGACTTCATTGTCCCCAGTTGTCAGGGATCCTTGGTATTGTAGAGTATGGAGCAGGAGAAGGGAGATAGTAGTTAGTTGCTGGTGCTGGGCTGAAATGACAAATCCGTGTTGTCAGTGATCACAGATTTGTGGAGATAGACCTGTGACAGAGCGATTGCTTTGCCAGGTGAGCGCTTTGGCCATTGTTCTGACGCTGTGAAAAAAATACATTGCCATTCGTGTTTCCTATATGTCCTCTTGCCTTCAAATGGTCAGTTTCAGTTTTGAACAGCCTTGTCGATCTTTTAAAAGAGGTACTATTCCTGTAGCTGAACCCTGAGGAAGCTCTGTACGTGCCCAATTCAGGAGGATGCTGCTCACAGAAACCATGATGTGATGTACTGCATAGTGCTGCCACGCCCATTACTCTAAGTCACCACCATCAGAGAACCTGTCCTCTTACTTGAATCCAAATTCTTCCTGTGAGAGTTCCGTCAGGCTGCCTGTCAGTCCTGAAGCCCCATGCTCTGAGATCTCATAAATAACATGTTAGCACCTTTGCTGATTTTTGCTGTGTTATTCTTTGGGGAGGCAGATTCAGGCTGCTATTTAAGGCCAACTAGGGAAAGCTGCAAACTTTTTTGACCTCTATGACTTTTGTGGATTGTGGCATCTTGTTCTATCATGATTTGCTTTACTTGGTTTTCGGTTTTGTTATGACATTGATCTGATCTGGTCATGACATTGATCCAGATAGATTCATGGGTTTTTCCACTACTAAAAGTAGCCATCAGGAACCAGCCTGCTGGCATAGCGGGGTACATTGTTTCAAGTCTTGGCTGTTGCACTTCTGATCCAGCTCCCTGCACCTCCCTGGGAGGGCAGCAGAGGCTGGCCCAACTCCTTGGGCCACTGTACCCATCTGGGAGACCTGGAAGAAGTTCCTAGCTCTCAGCTTCTACCAGCTTCCAGCCATTGTAGCCATTTGAGGTGTGAGCCAGTACATGGAATATCTTTCCTCTCTTTCTCTCCCTTTCTCTGTAATTCTGCCTTTCCAATAAAAAATAAATCAAATTTCCTTTTTTTTTTTTTTTAGCCGGGGCTGGCGCAGTGACTCAAATGGCTGCCAATCCTCCACCTACAGGCATCCCACATGGGTGCCAGTTGGTGTCTCAGCTGCTCCACTTCCCATCCAGCTCCCTGCTTGTGGCCTGGGAAAGCAATAGAGGATGGCCCAAAGCCTTGGGACTCTGCACCCATGTGGGAGACATGGAAGAAGCTCCTGGCTCCTGGCTTCAGATAGGCTTAGCTCTGGCCTTTGCAGCCATTTGGGGAGTAAACCAGCAGATGGAATATTTTTGTGTCTCTCCTTCTCTCTAATATCTTTGTGTCTTTCCAATTAACAAAATTAATTTAAAAATAGAAAGTTAACTATTTAAAAGAATAGCCATGAAACCAGGATAAGACACATAATTTATTTGATTTTTTCCCCCTTCATTTAATAAACACTGTCTCCGTCAATGTAGGGACTATTTTGAGGAGTTGTTGTTTGCATTGCAGATAATTGTCATTAAGGGATTCACAATTTACAGTCTTGATTTTGTGTTGTAAGCTGCAAAGGAAAAGGAAGTAGTAAATCCAGTCATAGTTAATTGAGAATAATTGTGGTTTGTTTTTTGGTTTTTGTTTTTCTTCCCACAGATAGTTTGCAGTTCCAGGAAAAAGCATTCAGAAATTGGGAGGCCTTGTCATGTGATCCCTGCAGGTAGGTGGAGCTAATGAGGGTAGATTTGGAGAGGGTCCGGGTGAGAGGCAAAAGCCATTACCTGGGCACTCGTGTCACCCATGTCACCCACAGCCAAGGGTGTCTGACCGTGCAGGAGCAGGGACTCTCGTTCTCAGCCCAAGATTTAGGATGACGGAGACAGGAAAGGCAAGTTTCAGTTCTCTATATAGAAACCATTGTGTAGTGGCTAAAAACACTTCAAAGGCCATATACCTGCCACAGATTTTTTTCCTGCTATAAATTTGTCTTGTCAATTATTTTTATCTGGGATGACATTAAAATGAATCTGTTTTTAACCACAGACTTCTCAACTCTCCAATGTCTAGCCCATTGATTTTAAATGACTAGCCCTAGTCCCCACCTTGAGTTTACCAGCCACTGTAGATACAGCTTAATAGACCACTTAGCTAACTCAGCTTTCTGCTGATCTCAAACAAAAATCTCTCTTCCCCGTGGCCCACCCACACTCTCCTGCATGTGTTTGCTGAGTGACCTCGACATACATGCTCCACTCTCCAGAAGGTTCATCCCTCAAGGCCCTGCTCGGTTACCACTTGTGTAGGTCATTGTGACTCAGAGAAATGTTACTGCTTCATATCATCATTTAGCTTCTTTCAACACTTATGTTGTTATTTACTCTTCAGGTAATGTATTTTCCCTCTTTAGATTGTGAGGAACGTAGACTGGCTTTGGGTTTTTTTAAAATCTCTAATAGGGCATTATGGTTACAGTACTAGTTCCTGAGCTGTAAAAAGTTAGAGAGTGATGGAGGAACAGTATAGACTCAGAACTGCATAAGCAAGCTTCCTGAGAAAAGTGGTAATACTCCCACAAAAGTAACAGCTTTGTGGCCACTCTCATTTTTCATCATCTCTCCAAAAAGAACAGAGGAAGACTTCCTGGATCAAGTGAACAGGAAACTGGCCTGGACTAGCCCTGAGGAAAACCTGTTGACCACAAAACCCTGTCACTGTGAGGAAATCCTGAAGTTGGTTCTCTCACCTCTCACTCAGCACTGCTTGGTCACTGGAGAAACCACATGCGCATTCTATTACCTGCTGGAAGCTGCTGCAGCTGCCTTGGACCTGTCGGATAATTACTTGGTGGGCGAGTTACACCGTCTACAACTTGAGCTGAGCCCTTTTATTTTAAAAATCTGAGATTTGTTTCTGTCAAACTAACCTGAGCGGAAAGGGGAGGAAAGATGAAAAAGAGAGAGGCTGGAAGGGATGTAGGAGAAAACTAACACTGGGGGTGTGGTAGTGAAAGATCACAGGGACAGCACAGTAGCTTGGTCAGCTAGTCCTCCCACTGCAAATGCCGGGATCCCATGGGGACACCAGTTCGTGTCCCGCTCTCTACTTATGTCCTAAGAAAGCAGTGGAGGATGACCCACAGCCTTGAGACCCTGCACTCAAATGGGAGATCTGGAAGAAGCTCCTGCTTCCTGGCTTTAAATCAGGAAGTGAACTCGTGGACAGATCTTTTTATCTGTCTCTCCTTCTCTCTATGAAGCTGTCTTTCCAATAAAAAAGATGAATATATCTTCAAAAAAAAAAAAAACCCCAGGCCGTGTTGGCACTGCCTGACACTTGCACAAGCAGCCAGCTCCTCATTTCCAGCTCAGAATTCAGACAGTCTTAATTCAAATCTTAGCCCTCATCTTAGCCTCACCCTCAGACTCCATTAACCTTCATGTTGTTTCTGCATCCTTCTTCTCTTTGGAGGCCTTCTTTTACTTGAGGAAGGCAGGCAGTCTTCGGGGCCTGCCATCGGCATTCCCCTTCCTGAGAAAGCACACGGTGAAGATCTGTCAGTTTGAGGAGGCCACTTTCTGCTGTCTGCGGTCAGAGGTGAGGGCAGCAGGTAACCTGCAATACAGAGTCTTTTTCCTTGGCCTACTCTGTTATTTCTTTGAAACTGTCTTCATTGTTTTTTTGTGTGTGATTATAAATGTGATGATGTAATGAAAGTTTATAAGATTCAAAATATAAAAATATGTGAAATTCAGAAAGTGGAAGAATCTCCACTAATCCTGTACCTCCACTACCATGTATTCATGTCACATGTATTCCACCTATATACATACAATCATGCCATTGTTTTGCAATTGATTTTTAGTAGACTCATGTTCTGTGTTCTCTGTCTTCTATAGTTAGCTTTTGTTCTTAGAAGATTTTCATATTTGCATATTGACGTATATATTGACCTGTCAAGTGCTCCATTGTATGGATGGTTATAATTTAACTCGTTTTTTCTTTTGTGCATTTAGATCATCTCTGATTTTAATGTTATAAACATTGTTTCAGTGAATATTTAGTTATTTATTTATACATTTATTGTTCCCCAGATAAGACTATTGATGTAAAATAAATTGCCAGAAGTTGAAATGTAAGGTGGAAGATACAAAATACTTTACACTTTATAAATATATCATCAATTCCCAACAAAAAAATACTATGTCAATTCGAATTTTCCCATTTCTTCATATCCTAACATTACAATATCCTGTATTATCAGTCTTAAATTATTCTACTTCAACCAAGAGTTTTTTTTTTTTTAAGATCTATTTGTTTTCATTAGAAAGTCAGATATACAGAGAGGAGAAAAACATAGAGGAAGATCTTCCATCCACTGATTCACTCCCCAAGTGGCTGCAATGGCCAGAACTGAGCCGATCTGAAGCCAGGAGCCCGGAATCTCTTCTGGGTCTCCCATGTGGATGCCAGGTCCCAAGGCTTTGGGCCATCCTTGCCTGCTTTCCCAGCCAAGCAGGGAGCTGGATGGGAAGCGGGGCCTCTAGAATTAGAACCAGTGGCCATATATGATCCCAGAGTGTGCGAGATGAGGACTTCAGCTACTGGGCTACCACGCCAGTCCCCAACAAGAGGTTTTTGAAGCAAAGTTATTCTTTTAGAAGTTTATAGTCTTCTTAAAATGTTCCAGAATCACATAGACTTTCTTACCTTCTTGAAGGTTACTCTTAGAATGTGGAAGTATAGAATAACCTCAAGTGGCTTTCCTGCTCCCACTCCCCCATGCACTCTTTGTACCCTCTCCAGGGAAGAGAGAGATGGGATTTGGTGCTACTTCATATGCTTTCCAGTGTGTCTGAGAGCATTTGAATTTCCTCACAAGCATAATCTCATCTTAGTGCGGCAGCATTGCTTTCTAAATTATAGCTGCTCTGTACCTTCCACTAACAAATACATGTGAACAACAACCAAAGGTGCTTTCTCCATAATCCCATGTTCTTACTCTTTGCTTATGGCCTTACTGTGTTTGTTTGTGGGACTGGTGATGAAGCTGTTCTCCACCCCACATGAGCTTAGCACTTCACTAACTCCAGCTGCACACCTCAACACTGGGCCACTGTGCTGTCCCATAGCACCACTACTTCTTCTTTGCCTATCTCCAGGTCTGCTTTAAGATGGGGCAGATCACCTTGGCCAAAAAACTGGCTAGAGAAGCTCTTAGACTGTTGAAAAGATACTTCCCTTGGACCTGGTTTGGTGTCTTTTTCAAGACATTCCTGGAAAAGTATTGGTTTTCCTGTTCTGTGAGCCGACGTCCAGACAACCCTATTGAGAGGTGAGAAGCCTACAGATTATCCTAATTTCTTTTAGAGTCACAGAAAACTAGTTAAATTAGTCTGGAACTTTACTTGTATTAATCTATTACTCTTTTTGTTATTATCAAGTAATTTCAAGTTATATAAGAAAGTATAAGCCAGCATTGTGAAGAGTATTCAAAAAGTTCATGGAAATGCATTATGTGAAACATCCATGTGTAGCTTACAATTTTTTAGCACCAAAATCAACTGTTTTTGCTACTTTTTGACATATGCTTATCCCTCTATTCAGGTAACAGGTGAGCGTAACAGGCCTAGCTCTTCCACCTTTCCCTCCCAGCCAGTTAAATGTAGAAAATAGCAATTCAAAGAATGAGTTTTAAAAAAAAAATCTGAACTTTTACTTGTGAAGAGCTGATGTGTGGTCAGGAGTGTTAGGACTCCAGGTTGCTGGGACACAGAGAGTTAACTTTACACCTGACCCTGAAGATTGTCAAGGTAAAATTTTATTGCCCAAGATTCTGGCCTCCAGCCCCTACAGCCACCTGCCTGTCTACAAGATCCCAAGCTGATAAGGGCATACAGCATAAATTGGTAGCCTATCAAAGGGGCATCCTGCCAGGTCAGGCCCACTTTACCACTGTGGATATGGTGTTTGCATGTATAAATGATGCTTTTCTAGGCCTGGAGTAGAAGGAAGCAGTTACCCATCATCCCAGAACCTGAACTTTCTGTCTTCTTCTCACTGTCCCAAGCATACTCTTCACTGCCCCCTTCCTTTTTCTGATACTCTGTTTTCAGTAAAACTCTCCTGCCTTAACCAGTTGTCTTTTTAACTTATTGGAGTATAAAACCCTGAGAACTTCACAAGAAGCAGTAGGATTCCAGGAACATTTCTGGTTTGAAAGTCTACAGATGGTCCTGTAATGATTAAATTTAGATCTCATGGGGAGGGGAAGTTAGGCATTGGTGGGGAATAAGGGTGTGCCAATCACCTTGTGCTTCACAATAGTAAGAAGAAGTTGGCCATCCTCCAGCAGCAGGTGCACTGCCTCTCCCTACTCCGGCAGCTCTATAGCCTTGAGGCGACAGCCAGCAACCTCAGGTTTGCCTGCCTGGCTGCTCTTATGCAGAAGAATTCAACTGAAGAGTTTGCAAATGAAGCCCAGGTGAGCAGTTCTTACTTTAATTTTGTACCTCCTTCAGAAACCTCAAGTTCTGGGGAGAAAAAATCTTGCCAGTTTCTGGTTTTATTGTGGCTCTCCAATAGCCCACACTTAACAGGACACCTTTGACCTGTATTTGAGTCGGGTTTCTCAATTACAGTTTATAGATGTGTTTCTAGTTATGGGCTTATCTGTGAATTCCCTGAACTGAATATAGAATTGTGTAAGTTGAAAAGTGTCTGGGAGGTAGTAGGAGGAAGGCATAACTTTTATTCCCAAAGAAATTTATTATCAAAAAAAGTATCAGGATTATTGACTTAGGAAAAAAAGAAATATATTTGTCTTTCTCTTTTATTCAGTTGACAGATATTTACATGCCAGGGAAGAAAACATATAATATGTTTAAATGAAGCAACAATGTATAGTATAGTAGACCATAATAAATGCAGTGGGAAAAAAAATAGGTAGAATCTGGGAGACAGAGTTCTGGGAGGTTTAGGGGTGTAATTTTAAACATGGTGGCTAGAGAAAGTGTTACTGAGCAGGTAACATTGGTACAAATGGCTGAGAAAAGAATGTTCAGGCAATGAATGCACAAGGCATGTCCTCCATGTCTGAGAAACCGTCAGGGGCCTGTGTGACTGCAGGATTGGGAAGGGAGGGAGGGAGCTGGGAGATGAGGCCAGAAAGACTGGGGTGAAGTGGAATAGGAAATTATACAGACCTTGTTGGCTTTTGTAGGTGGGAAGCCACTGAAGGTTTTGAAGAGAGGGCTGACAGAATCTACTTTTGTTTTATCATGATGGTTCTGGCTTGCATGTTAACAACACGTTGAAAGCAGGGAGACAAGAGGCAATTGCAGTTACTTAGGCAAGGTTGATGGTGGCAGCAGAAGTGGGAAGCATGGTCTTTTGCTGAGATAGAGCCAGCAGGATTTACTCATAGATTAATATTACTAGGATATGAGAGAAAAATAAAAAGTCGAAGATAATCCCAGGATTCATGACCTGAACTTTGGGAGGAAAGCCTTTAATCAGAATGGGAAAATGCAATGGGAGCAGATTTAGCAGGAGATGAGGAGGTAGGCTGTGAGTGAATGTGTTAAGTTTGAGAAGCCTATGAGAAATCTATGAGAAACCAAGTGGAGCTATTTAATTCTAGGGGATCACAAGAGAGGTCTGAGCTAGAAAGAAAAATATGGGGGTTATCAGTGTGTAAAGTCTGTTAGAGCCAGGAAACTCGATGAGAGCATTAAGAGAATGAGCAAAGGAAAGAGGCCTGTTGCTTGAGTTTACAGGTTTAGTGTTAAAAGGTCAGGGTGAGGAGGAGAAAGACAGCCCTGCCCCCCAAAAAATCAGGAGAGCATGGTGTACTGCACACATGAATGAAACAGTGCTTCTGCTTCAAGAAGAAAGCCAGAAACTATATCAAATGTGCACATGTCATAACGGAGAACTGTGGAGTAGTAGGCACTGGTTCATGTCCTGACTGCTCCATTTCCTAGTGCAGCCCCCTGCTTTTGACCTGGGAAAGCAGTATAGTATGACTCAAATGCTTGGGCCCCTATAGCCACATGGGAGACCTGGAAGAAGCAACTGGCTGCTGACTTCAGACCAGCTCAGCTTAACTTTGGCCACTGTGACCATTTGGGGAGTGATCCAGCAGATGGGAAATCTCTCTTGCCTCTCCTCTCTGTGACTCTACCTTTCAAATAAAAATGATGAGATCTAGGTAGCATTTCGTAAGAGGTCAAAAAATCACTCCTTTCTTGAAGAAAAAGTAGTTTGATTGGTATTTTAAAGGGGAAAGTCCTAGATTGAAGTAGAAGAAAATGGGGCCTGTAGAGAAAGTGATTTGTGTAAGTGAGGATGATCAAAATAGAAGTGTAAGTGTGGGTGTAAGTGGGTAGGGACACTAGGAGTCTGTATTGAGTGAAGAGCAAGCTGCCATGGTAGGCTCTTAGGAAAGGAACAAAGTGGAAATAGCTTGTGAAGATACAGTGGTAACATTTTAACCTGTCTTTTGTTGCACCACAGGTTGTCTCCAGTTATGTAGACCTCTCTCAGTTCTCCCAGAATGTTGGCGACAGGGACAAGTGGCTGCAGTGTGAGAAGATGGCCATTCAGAAGAGCAGCCTGTGTTGGTTCTCCAGGGAGGGATTGTTGGCCATGGCCCAGCTCATGCAGTCCTTGGCCTACACCAAGCTATGCCTTGGCCATCTTGATTTCTCCATCAAGCTTGGTAACAGGGCCTAGGGCAGTGAGACCAAGGGCTTTGAGAGAGGCCGGATTCCAAACCATACCTTACGTTGTGCTGTTCCACTCCACCAGGTTTCCAAGCTCTTGAGATCTGCAGATACCTCAGGAAACCAACTCTGGAGAAGCTGGTTCTCTCGGTTCTCTTCAGATCAGCATTTCTGAAGAAGAAGTACTCAGATCATGTCCTCTCCTTTAGATTTGTTGTCGGGGAGGGGGGAAGAGGAGGGATTTTTCTTCCACAGAAATTTGGAGTTGAGTGATATGCTTCTGTTTCCACATCCAGGCTCTTTCCCACTCCCAGGAAGGGTTATGCTAAGAGTAGGGGTCAGGTGTAGAAATGCTGGAGTCAGAGTAGCTACATCCTCCTTAGCACCTGGGACCCAGAAATGCCCCCTCCCCTTTATTTATTTATTTATTTAATATTCTACACAGAGGTAGGGAACTGTAGCAACTCAAGACCCAAAAGCTGTCTTGGGAATTTTCCTACCTTCTTTAACCAGAGCATAAAAGTTCTCTGTTGAAGTTCTCTGTGTAACAGAGTTCAGCAGAGGGGGTCCTCAGAGTGTTAGGCTACTTTGCTGTGAGGTCCCCCCACTCCTGCCTCACTCTGCCCCACTTCCTCACTGGCCTCTCAGCAGCTCTGTCTCTTGCAGATTTGATCTGTGTGTCCATGTGCTGGAGAGTCAGTGGGCTCTCACTTCCAAAACTCATGATGTCCTTGGCCTGGCCTGCTTTTACTCCGCTTGCTTAGATCTGCTGCTCTATGGAGAAGGTACATCTTGCACAACGCTCTCCTGCACTCCTGAAGGAGTCCCACCTCCGATGGAGCCCAAGGTTTAGTATATGCGCTGCCGAAGCCAGCACAGAGCCCAAGACTTAGAACACAGGCAGCCACTAGCCTGTCACTGAGGCACAACTTGTGCTCCTGGCACCTGCTTTCTAAAACCTGAGAACCATGTTGTGATTCAGGAGCATTGACTTTCCAGGTCTCATTTCCTTCGCTGTACCACACCTTCTATACCTTAGTCCATACACTGACAACATGTCCTAAATTGGTGACCATCTCTGTCCACAGGATTGTTGTGTCGGTCCTTTGGCGAGTGCCTGAATTTCATTCAACGCTACGGGCATAGCTGTATTATAACTTCCCAGAGCAACGTTATGCTGGGAGTTCACTCCTCCCTGGCCATGTGGTAATGTTTCACTCAGAATCTATGGCAACAAGTAGGATTTTAAGGATACCCTGAATCTAAGCTATCCCACCCCACATGTATTCTCCCAGGACTCTGAGCATCTCTGACAAACTGCTAAAAATTGTTAACTTCCCATCCCCTCCCATCTTATTGGAAGTATTCCTATTCCTGCATAGGTTTGGGCCTGTTGGTTAAGGACTAAATTTAGGGTTACATTTAAGTGCCCATGACAAGGCTGAGTAGCTTTGGTCTCCTTTAAAATCTGCTTGCATGTGAGTTGGTGCTCTATGTCACTTCTAGTGTCATAGTTCTATGAAGGATGTCTGAGAGCTTTAAAGAAGTGGTGCTTTTATGAGGGAACCATGATCGGTAGGCAATAGATGGCGCTGAGATTTGTAACTCTTTCCCTCCAGGTTTGCCCAGGACTCACAGTGGCACTTGTTTGTGCACCACTTCTCTAAGGCCTGTCAATTGGTGAAAAAAACCAACGCCTCACTATTTGGTTCACATGGCTTTGTCCGATTCCTAGAGTGCCATGTGCTAATGTTACAGAGTATGCCAGAATGCTTCTTCACACGTATTTACCCAAAGAATCATAACCAGACCCTCAAGGTACCTGTTTCACTGGTTGTCTCTCAATTAACACCTTTCATTACAGCCTGTAATCCTCTTACTACCACCCGTGATTCTCCCTTGCTCTTCATTGTGCTGGACTCTGCCTTGTGTTCCTGGAACTCTTTGTTTCTGCACTAGGAAGTTTCTGTCTAGCACCCATTCCCTCCCAAATAAGCCTGCATCTGGGTTTGGTTCTTTAGTGTTGCACTTTTGCACAGCTACTACTCAGTATCATTCAATTCTGAACATTGAGTCCTTCCCAGTGAGCCTCCTCTCTGGCACAATCTGTAATTTGACAACTTGTCCGAATAGCTCTGCCTCAGAATCTGATAAACATTCTAATTTCTCTGTGTCCCCAAACCAATATCCCAGACCTTCTTTGCCACCAATAATTTTCCCTATTTTTCTGAGCTCTGGGGTGAAACATGCTGAATGGAGACCAACCGGTGTAAGTTCTGATGAAAAGGTATGTAGGGGAAGAAAGTGCTAATACCAGAATTAATGGGCGTTCCTTTCTGTGCAGTACTTCAAGGAGTTCTTCTCTCGATGTGTGACCTGCCCTGTCTATCACCAGTGGGTCTCTGAGCTTAAGGCTTCAGTAATGAGATGTGGAAAGAGAGAACCCCTGTCCTTAACTAACATCATACCTGTTGACACCGGTTTTGCCAACATTTCGAGAGAGGGGGAATCCCTGGTGGAAAACAACTCTTACAGAAGAAATTTAGGACTACAGAGTAAGCATTCTTTCCTGGAATCTTTTGTAACAGATGTGAAAAACAGTATCAGAGTCTTAGAGACAATCAAAGCCTGTGCTTCTAGAGTCAAAATGGATCTACATAGGTGAATAGTTTAGTCTTTTGTCCATAGATTAAGTTTGGTTCTTTTCCCTGTTGCTAGATTCAGCCTAGACAAACAGGAATCCTTTAAACCAAACAGCTTCTTCAGTTTCCCTTTGTTTCAACATCTGCAACTTTTTCTTAATGTTTGTAACTTTAATTGATGCATTTAAGATTGTTGAAGGCAATGGTACCTCTTTTTTTCATTTTCTAAAATTTTAATTTTCATTATACAAGTCCTTAGGCTCAGGAATTTCCTCTTCCATCCTCCCTCTCCTCCATCCCCTGCAAATGTTTCTCCCTGTATTATAACAATAGTAAGTGCTTCAACAACAGTCACAAGTCTGTAATTCCTCTATTTAAGTGTATCGTGACATTGTAGGTATAGACAATGGCAAAAAGTCCAGCATCCTATTGTCAACATATATATATTTTTTCTTTATTTTTAAACATATTTTATTTTGTTTCATGATATAGTTCCATAGGCTCTGGGGTTGCCCATGCCCTTCCCCAAGGTCCCTCCCCCAACCTTAATTTGTCCTCTATAGTTTTACAATGAATGTCCATGAAAGGTCACAAGTTCATCATGCTTGTAATCCTTTTTTTTTAAGATTTATTTTCATTTGGAAAGCAGAGTTACAGAGAGATTCATAAAACAAAAAACAAAAAAAACCCACAGCTCTTCCATCCACTAATGCAACAGCTAGAGCTGAGCCAATACAAAACCAGGATCCAGGAGCTCTTCCGGGTCTCCCACACGGGTGCAGGGTCCAAGGTTTTGGGCCTTCTTCCATTGTTTTCCCAGGCCACAAGCAGGGAGCTGGATGGGAAGTCGGGCTGCTGGGATTAGAACCGGCACCCATATGAGATTCCAACACATTCAGGGCAAGGACTTTAGATGCTAGGCCACCGTATCGGCCCGCATCTAGTTCTTAAGCATAGAAAGTTCTTTCTCAGTCTCAGCCTAGATAATTGTGTTGTTTCCTTGGGGTAGCTAATACTCACTCCAAAGAAGAGATCTGAGAAGTCACGGTGTAATTTCTGACAGTAACTAGTAAGATACAGGCCCCTAAAAGGGGGTGGAGTGGAGGAAGAGTAGTTCCTTGCCCCTGGGACCTGCACCTAGCCCTTGAGCATAAGTTGGATGTGTCATTGCTGAGGACATTCTTGGTGATACTGTTTCTGTTCTACTTTCAGGTTTCAGCAGAGTGGCTGATGTCAAAGAGAATGAAACTCAAGTATGTTTATGTTAAAAGCTACAAAATCTAAAGGGACCATCGTTGTTGTGTATAACACAAGGAAATGCCACAGATTCTCCTATTTAAGATATTGTATAGTGTACATATTGAAGGTAATAGCCTTTACAATCACTGCTGTCTATATCTTTGCCAAAATAAAAGCCTATGTTCCTGAAACATGATACCCAGCTATTTTTTAACTATTGGTTATTAGTATAACTAGCAGAAGTTGGAAACAGTGGTAGATAGAAGTCCTGAGTGGCTTTGAGATAAAATAATTCCCTTTTATCTAAGAAAGGGAGACCCATTAGCAAATGGAAGAGTACAACCCCAATCGAGAGGATGTCACTCCTTATAAAATGCCAGCAGTATCAGTGCTGTGGTCTTGTCCTGTCTTGGCACAGATGTGCTCATGGACTTTGAAGAAGCCCAGGTGCCTCTTGAGAAGAACACATAGTTATGGACACCCATTTCTCCTTCGTTCTGCCTGATGTGGGCATTCCCAGCTGAAACTGTGAACTTGCCAGAGTACATGCAACTTTTCTTCTCCCCTTTGGCCACCATCTTTGGCCTTTATCTTTTTGATGGTGTTATTTCCTCAGATTAGGATTGTCCACTGATTTTTTAATGCTAAATTCAATTTTTCTAAAAGACTCATTGTATTTATTTGAAAGGCACATATACAGAGAGATTTTCATCCTCTGTAAACTGCCCAAATGTCCAAAATTGCAGGGGTCAGGTCAGGCTAAAGCCCAGAGTCAGGAGCTTCATCGTGGCCTTCCATTGGGGTGCATGGGCCCCAGGACTTGAGCCATCTTTTGCTGCATTCCCAGGCACATCAGCAGGGAGCTGGATTGGAAGTGGAACTGGAGCCATTGAACATCTAGGATGTTGGCATTGCAGTCAGTAGCTTCACCTGTATGCCGCAACACTGGCTTCAATTTAAAAAAAAAAAAGATCAAATGATCTGAAAGGCAAAGTGGCTTAGAGGGAGAGTCAGCTCTTCCATCCTCTGATTCATTACCCAAATGCTGCAACAATCAGGACTGCACTGGTCTACAGCCAGAAGCCCAGAACACTGTCACTTGTGTCAGCGGCACCGACACAAGCACCTGAGCCACCTTTTGCTGCTTTTGCCAGCACATCAGCATCAAATTATGCCACTCCCCTCTTAATTAATTTTTGCATTTAAAAATAGGTACTACAAAGGCCCAGCACAATGGCTCAACAGCTAAATCCTCACCTTGCCAGCACCGAGATTCTATATGGGTGCCAGTTCATATCCCAGCTGCTCCGCTTCCAGTCCAACTCCCTGTATGTGGCCTGAGAAGGCAGTAGAGGATGGCCCAAAGCATTAGGACCCTGTACCCACAGGGAAGACCTGGAAGAAGCTCCTGACTCCTGGCTTTGGTTTGGCTCACTTCTGGTCATTAGGGCCATTTCGGGAGTGAACAAGCAATAAATCTGATATGCCTTTCCAATAAAGATAAATCTTAAAAAATTGTACTACATTTATGTAATACAAAATTCAAAAGGAGCAGATTGGCATGTAGCATAACACTAATCCCCAGTCTGTGATGCTGGCATCCCATTTGGACACTGATTCATGTCCCACTTGTTCCACTTTCCATCCAACTCCCTGATAATGTGCCTGGGAAAGCAGCAGAACATGGCCCAAGGCCTTGGTACCCTGCACCTACTTAGGAAATCGGCCAGTGGATAGAAGATTCTTTCATTCATTCCCTCAAAATTTGCCTTTCGAATGAAAAAAAAAAAAAAGGTTAAGACTGTTGCAATGGCTGAACTGGTTAATCTTCACCATGTAATACCAACATCTCAAATGGACACTGGTTCATGCCCGAGGTGCTCCACCTCCAGTCTAGCTTCCTGCTGAAGGCCTACGAAAGCAGTAGACAATGGCCTACAGCCTTGGGACCCTGCACCTGTGTGGGAAACCCAGAAGAAGCTCCTGGCTCCTGACTTTGGATTGGCTCAGCTCTAGCATTTGTAGCCATTTGGGCTGTGAACCAGTGGATGGAATATCTTTCTGTATCTCCTCTCTGTAAATCTGCCTTCCCTATAAAAATAGATATTTGGGGGCCCGATGTGATGGCATAGCGGCTAAAGTCTTCACTTTGAACACACCGGGATCCCATATGGGCGCCGGTTCTAATCCCAGCAGCCCCGCTTTCCATCCAGCTCCCTGCCTGTGGCTTGGGAAAGCAGTTGAGGAAGGCCCAAAGCCTTGGGACCCTGCACCCATGTGGGAGACCTGGAAGAGGCTCCTGGTTCCTGGCTTCGGATTGGCTCAGCTCCAGCCATTGAGGCTGCTTGGGGAGTGAATCATCAGATGAAAGATCTTCCTCTCTGTTTCTCCTGCTCTCTGTATATCTGACTTTCCAATAAAAATAAATAATTTTTTTTAAAATAGATGTTTTTAAAATTGATTTTTAAAATTTCAAAAGGAGCAAGAGTGTGTTACAGTGACTTCCTGGGCTGTCCTCCAGTTACAAGTTGCTGTCCTTGGTGGTGATCATTGTTAGTGTATACCAGCAAACCTGTGACATACATGTACAAATCACAGTATATAGCACCTTTTTTTCTCTCAAATGGTACAACACATTGTGCCCTTCCATTCCCCCTTTAAAAACTCACTTTTGACAATTTCCTGGGATAAAATAGAACATGAAATTCACCTTTTTGAGAAAATTTTTAATTGTTTGAAAGGAAAAGAGACAAATCTTCCATCTACTGGTTCACTGTCCAGCGGCAACAACCGGGCTGGACCAGGCAACAATCAGGAGGATTTCCCACTGAGTGTCAGAGCCCCCCGGTACATGGGCCGCCATCTGCTGCCTTTCCAGGCACATTACCAGCTGGGTTGGACACAGATAGCTGCAGCTAGAACCAGAGCTCCAAGTATGTTGCATGCCAGCACTGCAGGATGCAGTTCAACCTGCATGCACACTTTTAAAGTATAAAATTCAGGGCCTGGCACTGTAGCCTAGCAGCTAAGGTCCTCACCTTGAACGTGCCAGAATCCCATATGGGCGCCGGTTCTAATCCTGGCAACTCCACTTCCCATCCAGCTCCCTGCTTGTGGCCTGGGAAAGCAGTCGAGGATGTCCCAAAAGCTTTAGGTTCATGCATCCATCTGGGAGACCCGGAAAAAGTTCCTGGCTCCTGGCTTCGGATCAGCACAGCACCGGCCGTTGTGGTCGCTTATGGGGTGAATCATGGGACAGAAGATCTTCCTCTCTGTTTCTTCTCTCTATATATCTGACTTTGCAATAAAAATAATTTTTTTAAAAAAAGTATAAAATTCAGTACTTAGTATATTTGCCAGGTTGTACAGCCTCTTTGCTATCGTTAACACTCAACAAATACATCCAGACCTAACACAAAAATGCTCATTATTTTTTTCATTCTTAGCATCTATGTAATGTCCCTCTTGTTATTTATTTCACCCTTCATGAGTAAGCTAGCTAATACTTTATTTCAAAGAATCTATTCTTGTTGTTTATCAGTTATAATCTAAGTGAGATGCTTAACTGCTGCTAAAGGGTGTGAATTTTCCTCTGAGTGCTTCTTTAGCTGAATTCCAAAGGTTCTGATCTGAGGTGACTGTCTCACCCTGTAACCCAAGTTCTTTATTTTGAGTGTTTCTTACACTAGCATATGGGTCAGTGTTTTCATCTTAGAAATTGCTCTTATAACCATGACCTTTTAAAATTTATTATCAATAGACTCTCCCATTAACAATAATGAAATCATATACAGGTGGTTCCCAACTTAGGTTGGTTCATCTTCCTACTTTTTGACTTTATTGTGGTGTGAGAGAAATACACATTCAGAAGGAACTGACCCTAATTTTGAATGTTGCTCTTTTCCCAGACCAGCAACATGTGATGGAATGTTCTCACAGACACTGGGCACAGCACAGCATAGGCCGCAGAGCCACAGTCAGGAGGCTAACAGCCAGTAACACACAGTGTCATATGCTGCCAGCGGTTTTTGGATGTTCTGTGTTTATATCCATCAGCCTACAAAAATATTCATCTGTGTATTCATGAGATAATCAAGAAATTATCATAAAATAGGTTTTATGTTAAATGGTTTACCCAAAAGGAGGCTAATGTGAGCAGATTAAGGCAGACTAGGTTAATGTGTGGTGCTCAGTAGGCTAGGTGAACTAAATGCACTCTCAAGCTGCAGTGTGTGATTTAGGATCTGCTTAGCGGGATACAGTCTGTGGTAAGCAGGAGAACATCTGCTTTTCCTCTTCTCCACTACACAGGTTATAGTTATCTTTCACAGTATTTCCCTTTGTACTGCTGAACTTTTTTTTTAAATCCAGTTCTAGAAGTACAAATTGACATTCAAATCGGGGGAAAAATTGTTCCAGAGAGTTCTGTTTAGACTTTATTCGCTCTTCTACTCTTCTCTCTTCACCAGGCTGTTTTCCCCCAGGAAAATGAGGGCTCCGTTGATTGATGGGCATCTTGACAGCTGCCACCTCCACAAGGGACAGAAGTCACAGCCTGAGGCTCTTATCAGCCATGCTCAGAGCATCCTGCCACAAGTCCCCAAATAGCATCCTGGGCTTATCCTGCCTGCAGTCCGAGGCCCAGCCCCTGGCCCTTCTCCTGAAACACCGGGTTAAGCTTGGAGCCCCTCCAGATGAGTGAAACCTCTTCATGCCTAGTTCTCCATGATTATCACAAGACTTTTTGAGTCCCCCCCCCGACATCCCCTCGCCCTTAATTCTCTCTCCCCCATATCGGAAAGTATTTTCATATTAAACAGCTTCAGAAGAAATGCTAGCAGGGACCTTGAGGCTTCTCCACATCCTGCCTGGACTAGTGTTCATTCACACTTGACCATGGGCACACTTGACTATTCCCCTGCCTTCCAGCATGTCTGTTTCTCCCCCTGGGCTCTTTCCAGACTCCAGAGTTCAAGCCCAAGGAAACAGAGCTACCAAACGGTCACCTAGTGAGGCAGAGCCACCTCTGGTAACACAAAGGAGTTTCATCTGGCGCTGGGAAACCCTTTTTTCTGCAGGGAATCAAGCTTGCCGTGCTTATTCCCGTCTCTGCAGTCCATCGCTCACATCCCATCTGTCTGGGGCTCCTCTAATTTATCATGGACACCCCACACATGCTGGTGCATCACAA